GGAGGCTGGAATGACTATTGACTTGCATGGGCTCCATTGAAATACATTACAGGACAAGTAGAGTTGCAATAAAAACGTGGAATGGATTTTTCATTAGGGTCTCTGGGCCCAAATACACTACTCTGGGAATGGAATGAGAGACCACATAGTGGAATGACAGCCCCAGGGTGTAGCAGGACTGTTCTGGGACTGGAATGGGAGACCATGGAGTGGAATGACAGCTCCAAGGTGGAGCAGGAGTGTTCTGGAACTGGAATGACAGGCCCAAAAGTGGAATGACAGCCCCAGAGTGGAGCAGGAGTGTTCAAGGACTGGAATGAGAGACCACGGAGTGGAATGACAGCCCCAGGGTCTAGCAGGATTGTTCAGGGACTGGAATGACAGTGGAATGACAATCCCAGGGTGTAGCAGGATTGTTCAGGGACTGGAATGAGAGACTACGGAGTGGAATGACAGCCTCTGGATGCCGTAGGTTTGGTCTGGAACGGGAATGACGGGCCCCAGAGTGGAATGAAAGCCCCAGGGTGTAGTAGGAGGGTTCTGGGACAGGGATGAGAGGCCCCAGAGTGGAGTGACAACCCCAGGGTGTAGCAGGACTGTTCTGGAACTGGAATTAGAGACCATGGAGTAGGATGACAGCCCCTGGGGGTTGGAGGAGTGTTCTGGAAGTGGAATGACAGGACCAAGAGTAGAATGACAGCCCCAGGGTGTAGCAGGAGTGTTCTGGGACTGGAATGAGAGACCATGGAGTGAAATGGCAGCCCAAGGGTCTAGCAGGAGTGTTCAGGGGCTTGAATGAGAGACCACAGAGTGGAATGACAGCCCCTGGGGGTAGAGGGAGTGTTCTGGAACTAGAATGACAGGCCCAAGAGTGGAATGACAGCCCCAGGGTGGAGCAGGAGTGTTCAGGGACTGGAATGAGAGTCCACGGAGTGGAATGACAGCCCCAGGGTGGAGCAGGAGTGTTCTGGAACTGGGAGGAGAGGCCCCAGAATGGAATGACAGCCCCTAGGAATAACGGAAGTGTTCTGGGACTGGAATGAGAGGCCATCAGTGGCTATTAGCCACAAGGTATAGATAGGAACTCTGGGGCAAGTGATGCTCTGTATTCTTGGTGCTTGGTGGAGGGCAACAGTGGGAGGGCTTCTAGTGTCCTGGCCCCACTGCTGGACCTCCTGATGGCACCTGGTATTTTTGGCCAATGTGTGACCATTTGATCAGAATTAAGCACATTGAATCCTATTGATTTCAGTGTAACATTTCATTGTGTGCTTATCTTTCCTTCTGAAATCAGTGAAAAGGACTTCTCGTTTGACATGTGCTGTTTGCTTGTTTTTTTCCTTCTGATTGTTAAATGTTTAAATTAAAGCATTTTATGTTTCTTAAAGCTTTTTGTTATTTTTGCACTGGAAGGAGGCCTAAAAGCCTAGAGGTAATGTAAAATAGGGGAAAGGTGGGGTGGGAATTGATATATGACACTGAATTTAAATTTTATTTTTTGAAAGAAGGTTACTTCAGAGGGAGAGGCGGGTTTGGGGGAGTGCCTGGAAAGTGACATCGCAGGAAGAGGTGAGGTTTTGGTGCAGTATACTGGAAGTGACATCACTGGAAGGGGAAGTGACATCACTTGCCATTTGACCTGGAAGTGACATCACAGGAAGTGACACCACAAAAGTCTCCCGGCTTCACCCCCAAAGTCTCCTGGCTCCACCCCCAAAGTCCTCAGATATTTCCGAATTTGGACTTGGAAACCCTATTCTCACTAATTCTAATTTAGCCACTTGGCCATTTCTAGGAGGTAAACACTTTGGTGAAAACCTCAGCAAGGTCCTAGTGGATACAAAGGTCAAGAAGAAGGGCATGCCCTTCTTAAGTGGAAGGACTAGAAATCCAAGCAATATGACTCCCAGTACTTATGCTCACATATTTCATAATGACTACCATAATGACTAGATTTCATAATGACTACCAAACATTTTTCTTGTCCAAGCCCAGAAAAATATATAGGCCATTTTCCAGCCTTTCCAGCGAAAACCCCATTTTGGGTAAGTCAAGCAAGTATCCACAGTCCAAATGATGTCAGGAGTCATCAGTGAGAGTGCAGCTACAACTCTTCTCCCAAGTCTGGAATTGTTCCATCTCCAACAGATGGGCTTAAGAGACCACCTCCCATGGATATTCAGTCAAATTTATCTCAGTCCCATGGGACAGATTCCTGAATTCCCAGGTCTCCAGAAAATCTGCAGTGAACCATAGGTCACCTGTAGAAGACCAAACCAATTGAACCAGTTCCATTGCATCTAAGATGCTCAAATATCTAAAATGCAATGGGCACTGAAGGGCCTTCTTGATATCAAGTTCCTCAAAAAACACACGAGGTACAGGAAATTCAGGATGGAGTCACTCAAGACTATTGCAGCTGCAGTTCTCCCAGGGGACTTCTTCAGTCCTTAGATCTCACCTTCATCCCCTACCCTTCTGGCCTATGAACACTTTCTGAGGCTCACCAACTGAGACCTTCACTTTCAATTCAAGGCCAATATCATTTGGCATCACATCAGCTCCTGCAAGTTTATAAACTAGCCCAGGGGTGGCCAAACTTGCTTAACGTAACAGCCACAAAGAATAAACGTCAGATGTTTGAGAACCGCAAGACATGGACAAATATTACACATTTTTATTGAAAAATATATACATTTGCTTTTTGTTAACATTATATTAGACTGTGTGAAAGAGCTGCATATGGCTCCCAATCTGCAGTTTGGCCACCCCTGAACTAGAGGGTGGTACTGGTGGCAGGTCTCTGGACCAAGGGCATTCAAATACACCCTTACTTACATGACTACCTTATAAGGTCCCTGACCAAGATCGGGGGGGGGGCAGCAGCTAATTAAATCACAGGGTCCAGGGCAAGGGGGGGTCTGCTTGGCGCACACCCACACCGCCCCCACTAAAGCCTTCATCTGAGGCAAGCCGGAATCCCAATGTTAATAGACTGAACAGCGCTGCACACTAAGGCTCCTCAGAGGTCTAGGAATGCTGCCACATTTTTTAAAAAAGGAGAGCAGGGATCAAGCTCCTCCCTCACTCGTTCCCTGCACCGATGACCTTTTCTGAAGCCTGGTGCAGAAAATCCAACAGGAGGCGCGAACTGCTGCAGCAGCTGCAATCTGACCAGCTGGTTGCTGCTGGGTCCTAAAGAGACTCATCTCATCATAGATGAGCTCAAAAAGGGAGATGCCGGCTCATATTCATGAGGCCATCAATCAGAAGAAGAAGAAGAGATTGGATTTATACCCCACCCTTCACTACCCGAAGGTGTCTCAGAGCGGCTTACAAACTCCCTTTCCCTCCCCACAACAGACACCCTGTGAGGTAGGTGGGGCTGAGAGAGCTCTTGACAGAAACTGCTCTTTTTCAAGAACAGCTCTTATCAGAACAATGGCTTGCCCAAGGTCATCCAGCCAGGTGCAAGTGGAGGAGTGGGGAAATCAAACCTGGTTCTCCCAGATTAGAGGGGGCTGGGGGGAAGGAGGAGGAGTTGAGGATCAGGGGAGGGGCCCCACAAAAACTGTAAGGGGCTGGGCCCCATGGGCCATGCAATAGCTATGGGCCCGCTGAAGAGCCAAATTGTTCTGTTACAGATGACTGAAAACTTGTGTGTGCCGTTAGACGCAGTACAGTGTAACTTATTGCACAAGGCTGGGAAGATCATGACAAGTCAAGCTGGTGCATTCATCTCAATTGGTAGATCTCATGTTCCTCACTGACTTACAAGGCTGAATGATCTTGATGAGTGAAAAAGTTTCATGGGCCTGGGCCTAATCACAACTTCTTGAATGCACCCTCTTACAATTTCAGAAACATATAGTGCACAAACTTCATTCCAGAGTAGCTTTGAATAAATGCCTTCTGAAGGATTTGAAATGGTAGGCAGTAAAGAAATATTTTCTGAGGGAAACTAATTCAAATCTCCCCAGACATACACTTCTCAAGTGATGTCAACCCTTCTCAAGTGATGTCAACCCACTTCTCTCTAGGCTCCATCCTTGGGCACCCTCAGAGTCTCCCAGGGCATAAACTTTCTGGAGTTCAGGGATATCCATCTACCTCTAGAGCCCCTTTCCAAACAGACAACATAAAAAGCCCACATAAACCATCAAGCAGGCACCAGGTTCAGGATCCTTCAGCAGTTGCACATCTGTCCTGGGATGAGATCTAGCCTTTTTAAGGGTGGAATACTTAAGGGCTCTCTCAGTTGCAGGTGGACTGGCTCAGTCACAGTCATCATGATTTTGACTAGGCGGCATTAAACAGCCTACTGTTTAGACCAGACATGTCAAACATATGGCCCAGGGGCCAAAATCACCCTGTCCAGGGCTTTTATCTGGCCCACGAGCAACTGGGGGGAAACCAGCTGGAATGTGGACTGTAAGGGACTATATTAGGGTATTATATCCTCTGTTGAGGTCCCTCCCTTCCTGAAATGCAGGCCTCTCCATGGTCTTCCCCCAGATCTCCAAGGATTGCCCAACCCAGAGTTGGCAACCATAAGGGATGAGGAAGGCTGATTTGGCCCCAAGCGCTGCAAAGCCAGTCTCCTTGGGGTCTGCCTACTGCCCTTGACTGAGGCACCAGACCGGGATGTACTGCCTGCTGCCACCGCCTCATTTTTGTTGTTGTTGTTCCAAGTGTTGTAATAACTTGTAATTCAGCAATTTCCCTTTCCATTCTGTTCCTGAAAAACCTCCCCAGGACTCAACAGGGATATTGGTTTTTTATCTCATAACATATGCTAACTCATTCGGTCTTCACATATGTATTCTCAACAAGAAGGACTATACATCCTCTGTATTTTAGTGTATTTCTTTTTCAGAATAGTATATTAGAATAGTGAATATAATGCAAGGAATATTGGAATGTTTTGCTGACATACCACTGCCCCCACCTCAAAAAAGAAAGGAAAAAATGCTGTTAAGTTACCTCCATGCCTGGGACGAGACGAATGGACAGTCTCAGTTTACTTCCCACAATTAGAAAAGATACCTTTACACATTTATCCCCTATTTTGACATATTTGTTGCTTTGCTGTTCTTTCCCCCTTTAATTAAATCATTACAACTGTTGACCTTATAACCTTAGCTTGCTATTTAGTTTTGTCTTTGCATATCTTAAAACATCTTCATCATGTTGCATGTCAATTTGCTGTTCAGCCTCTGCCTATAAGTTTGAACTCTACCTTCCATTCCAATGCATTTGAAAAAGCGTGCATGCACACGAAAGCTCATCCCTTGAACAAACCTTTGTTGGACTTAAAGGTGCCACTGGACTCTAAATTTGTTCTACTGCTTTAGACCAACACAGCTGACCACCTGGAACTATAAGAAAAGGTAGTATTCCATACCGACCACACCTCTGTGCCACTATTCCATCACCCAGGTAAAATTTATTTATCTTCTTTCTGTCCCAAGCCATCCCACTCAAAGAAAAGAACTGGCACTCCTGGGATCGTAGATGAGCCCTAAGTTAGGCATACTAGACCTTTCAGAAGGTCTGACAGACAGTCTGTCTGTAGTCCTTCATCCTGTGATCAAAGGCACAAAAGTCTCCGAATCTACCTTTAGCAAGTAGCTAAGGGACAGAGGTCATTTCGGGGGGGGGAACGCGAGGGAACGCAGTTCCCCCGGGGGAGGGGGCCAGGGGGCGGGGACATGACAAAGCCCTGCCCCCTGCTTCCGGCTGCCCCGCTTCCGGACCTCATTCAGCCCGGAGGAGGCAGGAGAGGAGGGAGGGTAGTTTGCTCCCCCCCTGCCTCTCCCCACCCCTGCCTGCCTGGGGCCAAGGAGGGCCTTGGCGGGGCTTCCTCACACTCCCACTGGCCTTGCAGGTCCACCACCGGGCCCCTGATGTCAGGGGGTGTGGCATATGCTAATGAGTTATGCTAATGAGTTCCCCTTGCTCTTTTTCTATGAAATGACCCCTGCTAAGGGAATTCATAGCACTAGCATAAATCTCTCAAGATCCACAAGTACCAGAGGGCATTACCCCAGATTCAGTCAGGAGTGCAGCTACTTTGGCAATTTTCAGCATTTTATTTATTTATTTATTTATAGTCTTTCTCACAGGGACTCAAGGTGGATCATACATAGTGAGTCAGTACAATCAAAAAAATGAGACACTGAATAACCAATGCATTAAGGTTTTAGAAGTCTGGAACCACCAGAAAGAAACAAAAGCGTAGCATAGGTATTAACATGAAATATTAAGCAGTACAAAAATTACATAATAGGCACCTACTTACAATAAGCTACACATAGCAGTACAGACCACAGTGTCTAGTCATTTCTCCAAGTAAGTTTGTGAACCATTTTGTACAGTGCAACCATAGTATGTGTGCAGAAAAGCCCTCTTGAATAAGTCAGTTTCGCATGGTTTGTGGAAAGCCAAGAGATTGGCACCTTTCCTGACCTCCTTAGGCATGCCATTCCACAAGGTGTGAACCACAACAGAGAAAGCATGAGTACGGGCAGTTGTTGACTTTGCCCAGTTGCACGGCTGACATGAGTGAAGTTGTTATAGCGCACAGGGAAGATGCAGTCCGTACATAAGAGGGATGAAGGCCATGAAGCGTTTTGTACGTGATAGCCAATGCCTTAAACTGAGTCTGGTAACAAATGGGCAGCCAATAGAATGTCTGCTGAATGGAAGTAATATGCATGATCTGTCAAGCTCCCACTATTACCTGAGCTGCGGCATTCTGGACCAGCAGGAGTTTCTGAGGAGGCTGATGTGCAGTGCATTATAGGAGCCTGAGCTTAAAGTTACTGTGGCATGGATCCAGGTGGCCAGGTCAGCTGTAAGGGCTGTCTTACAGGCTAGCCTGAGTTGGTAGAAAGCATTTCTTGCAGCTGCATTACCTTGCTTTTCTAGTAATAAAGGTAGATCCAGTATAACCCCAAGGCTTTTAACTCAGTCAGCCAGGGTCATTTGAACCCCATCAAAAGTGGAGAGAATAGGGTTGCCAGCTTCAGTTTGGGAAATATCTGGAGATTTTGGGGGTGGAGCCTGAGAAGAGTGGGTTTGGGGAGAAGAGGAATAGTAGGGTGCAATGCCACAGCCTCTACCTTCCAAAGTAGCTGTTTTCTTCAGGTGAACTGATCTCTTTTGCCTGGAGATCAGTTGAAGTCCCAGGAGATCTCTAGCCACCACCTGGGAGTTGACAACCCTGGGAGAGAACTATGTCTTTCAAGACCTCCACCTTCCTAACCAGCATTACCTCCATCTTTTCAGACTTTAGTTTCAATTTGTTCACTTTTCACCAGTTAACCCCAGAGGACAGACAGCAATTTAGGACCTCAGCACGAAGGCTTTTATTGTTGACGTCTGTAAGGCAGCCACTTGGGCATCGGCATCCACATTTGTTAGACACTGCAAAATTGACTACAGTGCTTCAGCTGTTGCAGCTTTGGGGTGGTGGGCAATGTTCCCTCTAAGCAGAGTTAGTGTGAGCTAGCTCACAGTTTTTTAGCCTCCGGCTCACACATTTTTGTCTTAGCTCAGGAAGGAGGGCTCCAAAGCAAACTGATTTATGCAGTAGCCAAATCATTTGCTCACAACTTTAATGGCAGTAGCTCACAAAGTTGAATTTTTGCTCACAAGACTCCACAGCTTAGAGGGAACATTGGTGGTGGGTCCTGCAACAGGTTGTAGGTTGCCTCTTGATTGGCATCTGTGACACCATTTTAAACTGAAAAGGAGATGTAAATTAACATAACACATTTGTGCAAGAGTTAGCATAGTCCATAGATTATCATTCACTCATCACTACCAGAGCTAGATACTCTCCATAAGTGTTCCCTCTAAGCTGAGTTAGTGTGAGCTAGCTCACAGTTTTTTTAGCCTCCGGCTCACACATTTTTGCCTTAGCTCAGGAAGAATGGCTCCAGAGCAAACAAATTTATGCAGTAGCCAAATTGCTTGCTCACAACTTTAATGCCAGTAGCTCACAAAGTAGAATTTTTACTCACAAGACCCCACAGGTTAGACGGAACGCTGCTCTCCATCATATGAATATTAGAATTATAAAATTGTACCTAAGAACATTTAAATAAACCTTGACCAAATGTTCTCCATGTTCTGAAAGAAGCTAGACACATTCCATCTGAGTTTGTGCTGGTGTACATAATTTGAAATTAGAAGGGAACCTGAGGTCAATGTTTCAAATGCTCTTGGAGTGTTTCCTTTCCTTCTTGATGCAGTTCCCATCTGGAACAGTAGAGGGCTTAACCAGCATAAATTAGTGGACCAAGGCTTTTTGTCTTTTTAAATCTGTCTCTGTTAATTTAGGGCAATCATTTTCCAAAGGCAGAAACAATATTGACAGTGCAAGCTTTCATCAAAAGTAAATAATGTAGATGGGTAAATACGGCCATGAGCAGTGCTGCTTAGCAAGACTGTAATGGGTTTTCCTTCTTCGTTTAATCTTTTGACATAGTACTTTCCAAGTCCAAAAACTTACAGCTGCTACAAGAACTGACTCCAGGTAATGAATTTCCTTTATTTATTTGGTGAATTGTTTTCAAAGGGTGGGGGGGAAGGAAACGACTGCATGATGTCTTACTTTTAACAGATTGCTTCCAGTTATCCAATATTAGCAATTGTTTAAAGTTTTTTAAAGTTAACTGTGTGACTTTTAAAATTTATTCAATTGCTTACATTCTTTGCAGGAAATAATTAGATGGATTAGA